GATCCTGTCTGTAGGCAAGTGTGCTCTGCGCAGGGGGAGGCAGCCTGCCCTTCACTTCGACAAGCAACTGGGTAGGAGCCAGACCAATTACTAAACTAAACAGGTTCTCTGCTTTATGTCACTTGAATATTCCTGAGAAGTTCCCAATATTGAATTTGTATATGCTTAATCCTTTTTCCCTACTGACCTATTTTATAATTTCTGATTGATCTTTAATTGGCAGTGATTCTTCAGACTTAAGATTCGTCTCTAACACTGTCTGTCATATAACGATTAACTTGTAACAGACTTAAATATACCATAGAAAATTGAACCACTGGAGCAATTCTTGGCAAAGCAATTGACTTGATCATTCCCTAATGTAACTGTTTTCATTCTATTTTTCCTTTATTATGTGTTTTAATAAGCATACTTACACTACACAGAACTTCTGGTCTTTCCTCTCATGAAGCTTATTACCTCCACTATTAAACTTAACCATGGATTGATTATACTTTGTGTTAATCAAAGGGTTAACGATGGCTTGGAAACTCTAATGTCCAAACAGGTTATCTTGGGTGAGGGGGTTGAGTATGGCAGGACAAAGGGAGGTGAGGGAGGTGGGAAAGTGGGGGATTGGGGACCATTAGTGGCAGATGAGTTTATCTGGAAGACTCAGGCCCTGAAAGAGGTATGATTTCCTCCTGGGAACCCTAAAATGAAATTTTCCAAAAGGAAGTATTAAAAACGTTCCAAGTCATTTCCCCTTTCTCTATTAGGAAAAGGCTGTCATAGCTCCAACCTCATTCCTTTCCGTTTACCAGCCATGATAAGCTATATCTGCAATGTAATGAAAAGTTAAACTCAATTAGTGCATTTATTAAAACACTTGCTGCATATCTACTACGTGTCACTCCCTCTGCTAACTTACAGTGATGAGCGCGCAATATAGCCTCAAAGAACCTGCAGTCTAAGCAGCAACTAGAGTCCAACTCAAATGAGCATGGTTTCAATTTGTGTCTGTCCTCTCTTCCACTTGCTATCTTCACATTCCCTTATCTCCCCTCCAAAAATCCTCATATACATATGCAACATATTCTTTATTATAGAATCTATGTCCAGAACCTTTTCAAGTTTAAGAAAAAAGATGAAGCCAATGAAGCCACAGCCTTCCAGTTTGGTTCTGCTAAACAACTCTATGAGAGGAACTCGATGCTGGGTAATTTGAGGCAAATCATCTTATTCCTTGCAACGTTCATGTGTATCACTGAACCAGTTGGCAGCTGATGTGCGGGTTTTAGTCCTGATCACGGAGCAATCTAGTGAATTGCCACAAGATTGATCCTATTCATTCTGATGGCTTAAGCCGTAGGGCCATCTGCTGAATGGCTAAATATAGTAGACCAGAGATGCTCAATAAATATTTGTGGATTGTATGGCAAACTGCCTCTTCACACCTGAATTACAAGTCTGTCGTAGGTAAGGGCGTAAATATGGACAACTGATCTAGACCCTCACCCCCACCCCACCCCTGGGCTTTTGCCTAAGCTGTTCTGTATGCCTGGAATTCCCTCCCTCTCAACACCTCACTGTCCACCTGTCCAAATCCTACCTAGTTCAAGAACCAGCTCAAATATCAGTGACTCCACAGAGCCTCCCCTGATCACCCTCACCAGAAATAACCTCTCACTCTTCTCAATTTCCCTAAGACTGTGTATATCTTTTCTGGCACTTAAAACACACAGCATTTCAGCTATTTGTACACCTTGTTTTTCCTACAGCACTCAGTGAGATCCCTGACCTCGGGAATTGTGTGATGCTCCTCTTTGAGCCCTCTCCTGCTCTGTACCCACTTGTACAGAGTAGACCCAGGGTAAAAGCCGAATGAACAAATGTTAGTGCCAGCAATGGCAAGAACAACTGCAACACTCTTTATTCCTTCTTCTGCCTCCTCTTCTCCCTCTGTAGCTTTTAAAAACATCTTTATTTGATCCACCAATTACCCAGAGGAGGCTTGAGGACTTACTGATAAATAAAGACAACTCTGTAGACCAAAAAAAAGCTTGCAAAGACCCTTATAATAACAAGTGAGGCGTAGGCCAATGGAGAGGGGAATCTCAGTCCCTGCTTTCCTGACAGCCTGCTCCTGGGGAGTGGAAGTGTTATTTTCTCAAAGAGCTTCGTCTGCTCTGGTTCTCATGTGCCAGTTCCTCAGCTGAGTAGAATCTCCTGACGTTATTTTTAAGTACAGACTCCAATAATAGGCTAAGTAATTGCAGATCTTCCTGAGGCCTTATTATATATGTACCAACATATTGGGCTTTAAAAACCCATATTCCTTCCTGTAAATATATGTTGAGAACCTTACATTTCAGTATTATGTGTAGTGGTCATGCGTATTTCCCTTTGTTTCCTCTCATAGAGATCCTGAATTAAAAAGAACCAAAAATAATGCTGATGCATGAGAGAGAATTTCTCAACAATGTATGTGATTACTCACATAGATTGAAAGATTTTCCCTCCATCATAACTAAGAAAAATGTATAGTACAATCTAATAGAGACTTTAACTTCAGTAATACACTTTCCATACTGGTGTCACTAATGCTTGAACAGCTGCAGCTCTCACTGTCTTTGCTGATGGGGCCCATAAATACTCCTGGGAAATGGGACAAAGATACGTAATGGATCTTCACCTGCCAAGATCAGGGAAATGAATGTCAATCGCACCCGGACGCAGAAGCACTTTTTGGTGGAGAGTGATTAATATTGCCATTTGTCCTATGCCACTGCAATCTTGGACAGGAAAGCCTAACATGGAGAAAAATGGTGGGAGAAGATACCGTTCTAGGATGCTTGAAAAGAAGGGCGTGTAATAATTATATGGCCAATTGGAAAAAAAATTAAAAAGTATAACAATATGATTTAGATGAGAAAAAAGATGGTGCTTCAAGAGCATATCCACAGTGTACGTATCATTTCACTCAGTATGCAATCTTCCCCCAGATCATGACTTTTTCATTGAAAAACAAATGTCAGAAATATTAGGAAGTCAGAAAATTGCAGGACGGTCTGTGTTCTTGGAAGCAATCCAGCACAGTGGGGAAAAAGTGGGCTGAGATGTCGGGAAGCCTGAGTTCAAATCCTGCCCCTACCACCTTTCCATCGTGTAACCTCAGGGAAATGACAGCTTCTCAGTACCTCACTTTGTTTCCCAATAAAGCAGCAATAATAACATAATTCACCTTATAGAGCTGTCTGAGGGTTATATGATATAATCAATATAAAGATCTTAGGATGGTGCCTAGAATTTAGTAAGCTAACATCAAGTGTTTAGTATTGTGGTTGCTGCTTTCTCCTCTTCTTCCTCAGCCTCCATCATCGTCACCATCATCCTTCAGATGTTTTGTGGCTGATTTCACTAGTAAATGTTATGGAGAGAAGACTACATGCTAACTCACACCCAACATGAGGCAGTCTCCCCTTGACACATCAATCTCCAAAAACTAGATTCCTAATTATGAAAGTTTAAACATCCAAACAAAAAAGTGTGGCAACAGAATCTACAGATGTAGCCAGCTAATTCATGTTATTCTTGCTTTAACAAGCAATGGCCACCATAACAGATATCTTATTGCGTAAAAAGAAGAAAACAAAACAAAACAAAAGGTGACAGAAAGTATTGGGCACTAGTAGACAAGGGCCCCATATTTAGGTACATCGCATGTTCTTTGTGAAAAGGGATATGGCAATAACATGCTCAGTTCACCAAGAAACTAGGTAGGTCTTTTCCTGTCTTCAGTCATTTGGGATCACAGGCTGAAGGCTACTTCATTCCTTTCCTCCCCTTTTCAAGTAGACTTAAGTTCTGAAGGTGTAAGATGAGTGGTGGCTGAATGGCTCCTTCTAATTCTGTGATTCTGGTGGTTTGATCTTACAAGCCTCAAGAATCTTTCTGTGGTGGTATAAGGTTGGGGCAAGCCTCCTTTTAAATGGAACACGCGATTGCAAGGTGGCAGGGCCTTTCAGCAGGTGCCACCCCAGAACTGGATGAGGGGCCTGGGACAGGTTGCTAAACAATGGAAACTTCCCGTTCTGGGTGTTAACTTTAGTTACCACAGCCAGACAATACTGCCAGTGGTGTGGAAGAAAAAATTGCTGTAGCCAGCTGTGCTGTTCACAGTCGGATGGATTCCGTGTAGCTCCAAATGGTGATGGAGCCAGCAGCCTGTTGTAGCCAAGGACAGGATGATGGATGATCTACATACTGTGTCCAAGTAGAGAGAATGGCAGAAGTTCACTTCAGGGTTGTTAAAATGCTAATCTGGGTGAGTTAACAAAAGCTTAATAGAAAAGGAAAGTTTGAGAAATAAGTACACCTCATGTGGTATCTGTGTGGACCACTGATTTGATCACCCTTGGTTACATAAATGGTTGTTTTTCAAAGTAAGAACGTCTAGTAGTTTTCCTGTTGGGAGAAATGCAAGCAGCTTCAATTGTCAGTGGCACTGCCAGTGTTGTCAGGGTGTGAGGAGGAAAACTCTGCCCGACAATAGCCACCTCAACTAGAAAGTGTTATGGTATGTTTAAAATAGTTATGTGATTTTTATTCTCTCCGTGTGTCATGGGAATAAATCAGAACACTTTTTTTTTTCCCAATTGGAAGTTGGCAGCTGTTCACAGGATCAGCGGCAACCTAAGACACTAGCTTTGGTAGATATTAACACTAAGTCTCCATTCACATGAGCCACAGAAAGTGAGATCTCTCACTCTAAGGACAGATCCAATGCATGAATTACACTAACAGTACATTGAATCATTCACTAGTGTTAAAGGCAGGTAGGCTGCACCACTGCAAGTATCTGATATGGGTAATCTTGCTTTAAAATCTCTAGGATAAAATACTACACTTCTAAAGAAAGGAGCATATCTACATTTCTTGTCAAAAGGTCTGTTTTCCCATCCTTTATTTCTTTTTATTTTTGCTCAATTGAAAATACAAGAGAAACATATTTGGCTCACCTGGTGTTGGAACACTGGCTAGCACAGCTCCTTGCAAATGATAAATATTCAATAAATACTGCCTGGTTGGCATACCCCAACTGCTTCTTGCTTCCTCTAGAAAGGCATCTAGAATATGCAGGCTTGAAGTCTATTAATTAAAATAAAGGACAATATTTTATCTCACAATATGCCAAAGAAAGAGTTCACCTCCTATGGTTACACTACTAATGGTTAGGCATTCAGCCAGGCTCTTAACTCTGCATAAAACGCATCAAAAGGGTGAAAAATGACCCTATTTCAGATGCATTTTTCACTCTTTGTATCTTAGTGAAACTCACATGCAAGAACAATGACTAAGCTAATTACCAAGGTTTATTATGATGGAGCAGCAAGAAGTGAAGAACTTCTCCAGTTTCAGTAAGTCTTTAGCAATTATGGCCATCTTTGTGAATCAAGGCTCTGATTCCTGTTTACTTGCTTGTGGCCTTTCAAGCAATGGAAACCCCGACATTGATGTAGGGGCCTGCTTACCCCAATCACAGTTACTGGACAGAGCCCTTCTGTGCATGCAGCAAGCAAGAGAACTGAAGTCTTCTGGATTTCTAAGCTGCCCTCACTCTAAAGACTAAGGGATTTACATCACAGCCATCTTTCAAATCCATCAACCCATCAAACCAGGGGAGACATGACCAGATGGTGCTATTAAAGGGCACCAAAAGAAAAAAAGAGAGAAAGAAGAGGAAGAGGGCAGAATGCCCACAAATCTAAATCAAACTCAAGTTAACCAGCTGTCGGTGATGAAGAAGTCACAATATTTCTGGCATACTCTCCTGAATCACAGAAACGTTCCAAAAAAAAAAAAAAAAAAAGGTTATCGATATAACATCCCTACTAGAAATAAGGCCAGGTAGGAATATTCTGTAGGATGCAGTAAGAAATAGTTGCTGGCTGTTAATCTAACAAAATGTGCCAATGGAAGAAAACAGGCTGCTCAACAACACATTTTGGAAGCCTTGGGGTTATCTATTTAACTGTCTTTCTGAAAGTACATTCTAGAGACCTAAACCAAACAAAGCACAGACAGTAACTATAAAAAACAAAACTCAGCTATGACTGAGCTATGGTTTATTTATCTCTAGATGTTTAGGTTCATGGTAATATAGACCCAAATCTCAGGGCTTATCTGGCAATTTCTATTTATCTAAACCAGAGTAAATGTTTGTGTAATATCTGCCAGCTTGACAGAATATGCCTGTCACTCACTACATTAAACATGACTACACACAACTTAATTTCCTGAGTTAGACACCTAACAGAGTAAGGGGATTTATTTTTTAACAGCATGAGTAAACCGGTATCAAAACCTATTGTTTTAAGCCACCAAAGGATAGTAAAATCCTTCCCTTGAGCGGTCTGAGATGAGATTTCTTAATACTACAAGGAAGAAACCTTGAAAATTTTCTTCAAACAAGTATTTTTCCTATTCTAAGGGACAGAGATCAAACCAGCTTAGAAAAATGTTAGACCTTTCCCTGGGACTTCAGCTTTGGAATCAACAAAAGAATCCACTTCATAGCCCCAAATATCAAGCAGGGGGAGGGGCAACCTTAAAAAGCACCCATAATTTTTACTACAGACTTAAAGTTCTTAATGGCCAGAAGTTTTGGGGAAAAATCGTCCCACTCATTGCCCTTTCACCCCAAGTAACAGGAAACACTACAGTTATTTTTAAAGGAAAGCCCCGCTGTAGTGGCAGACAGAAGGTCCAATGACTGTTGACGAAGTCTATATATCTATAGTAACGATGTGCTGCGCCTTCTGTGTGAGATCACCCAGCTGACGGCGCTGAGGGCTCGGGATGCTGGAACATCAGTTACCGACTGGTCACCCCAGAACACAGAGTACTGCCTTAAGTTCCTCAAACGCTGCGATTTATACCGGGACTTCAGTCCCCCTCCACACCCCCAGACCCGCCAGCTCCCTGACATTTCGCCTTTTAACAAGTTCAGGATTTAAACAATCACCTGACAGCAGTGGTCCCAAGAGTGGATGGAACACAAATTTTTCAAACCCAATTCTCGCCCACACTTTCAAGTCCTTTATGACCTTTCATTTCAATCCAAGAATTACACACGACAGAGGAAGCTTCAAGCCTTCCTAAATTACCCAAGGAAGGCGGCTGCTGTGTCAGTTTCTGCAGACCAGGGAAAAACACCGCCGCTGTCAAGACGGGAAATAAAAGTTTCCCTACCTTCCTCCTCACCAAGCCCCTGCCAGCGGCTGCTGGCGCGAGCGGCGGCTCCCTCCCGGCTGCAGGACGCCTCTTGCAGCCGGAGAAGGGGCTCATGCAAAATTGACTCTTCCTTATTTGTTTCCATCCATAATTGATGGGGAGATGAGAACGTAACACATCTCAGAACCGAGCTCTTGCCGCCTGGCGGAGACCCTGTCCAAGACGCTTCCGTAAAGCATTTCCAGCCGGGGAACAAAGCACGGAAAGTTGCTGGGGAGAGCGGCCGGGAGGAGACACCGGGCGCCGGGTGGGAGGTGGGGTGGGCGGTGGGCAGCTCCGGGCCCGTGAGTCCGCCCGCAGCGCGCTCTGCCAGCAGGGGGAGAGGGACGGTGGGAAGTGGCCGCCCTCCGGGCCGGAGCCGGTGCCCGGGCCCGGGGGGCCGGGGATGGGGGTGGCCAAGTCACCCGAGTCCCTGCCCCTCGCCGGCAAGCACTACCCGGGGGCCGTGCAATCCCGGGGCTCACTGACAGGTATCCTGCGCCCGCGAGGGGCTGCTCCGGCCTCAGCTGCAGCACTGCGCCCCTTCTCCAGGACGCAGACGAATAATGCTCGCCCGCTCACCCGCTCCTAGCCGGGCCGGAGCTGCCAGACCCCGGCCGTCCCAGCGTCCGCTCCAGGGCCAACGGGCGGGAGGGGCGGCTAAACCTGCAGGCGGCTCCTTCGGCCTTGGCTCAGCTCTCTCCGGCTGGCTCGAGACGCCGTGCCCGGCACCGAAGCAACCCCTGCTCCCCCCAACTATGTGTAGGGGACGCCGAGCTGGCTCTGCCTGGCAAGAAACTTTTACTTGGTGCCCCCTCCGCTTTTTTTTCCAAGGGGGTGCACAGTGGAGGAGGGCCTCCAAGTCCACTTGCCCCTCCCCCTAAGCCGCCAGCTTTGCCAGTTTTGACGCGTCCGCCAAACCTCTGTAGCCCTTCGCGCGTCCCTCACACGGCAGGCAGAAAGCAGCTTGGAAAAGAAATCAACCGTCCACTGGCCACACACACACACACACACACACACACACACACACACACAGACCCGATACGGGATCTCAGGTTCCGACCCCCACCGGGCGCCACAAGAGCATTAGCAAATTGTTGAAAACGGTCTTACCTCATTGGGGGGAGGCTGGTAAGAAAAAAGGAAAAAAAAAAAAGCTTGCCACGCGCAAGGAAGAAAGAAAATAAAGAAAAATATTGTAAAAATAGATATCCCTCTGTCTCCTTAGGTCTTGCCTTTCTTGATAGAATCCTGAAACTCGCCACCACCCCTTACAGCAGCAGCAGCAGCAGCCGCCGCCGCCGCCGCCGCCGCCGCCGCCGCCGCCGCCGGACAGAGCAGGAGCAAAACAAACCGATGCACGGCAAATGGTGTAATTCGATCCATCTCCAAGTCAATCCATCGGGCGAGCCGGAGCCTGGCTCCCTCCACGCACTAGGCAGCTCGCGGCGCGGGTCCCACCCCCGGGTACGGACGGCAGGAGGCGCGGCCGGCCGGGCGCGCTCGCCCTCGCGGGTGAGCTGTGGCCAGCGCCGCCTGGAGGCCCCCACCCTGGCGCCGCGGCTCTGCTGACCCCTCGGTGGCCTCCGCGTCCCTCCTCTCCGGCGCTCTGCTGCGCACCCTCCCTCTCCCCACCTCTGAGGAGCTGCTCCTTCCAGCAACTCCCAGTGTCTCAGTCATCCAGCTCGCGGTGGGTGCTGCAGCCTGCGAAGCAACCTTTTCGATTCCCTCCCTCTTTCCCTCTTTTTCCCTCTCGCTCACTTGTTTCAGAGCTTTCCTCCAGACACCCAGAGGACAAATCACTGCAGCCCAGGAGAGCTGCGGACGCAGTTGTTTCGTGAAGTTCTGCCTTAGTTTTCCAGTGTAAGATTTATTTTTTAAGCACATCTTTACAAACCCGCCCCCACATTACCTCCCCCCACTCCATTTCTCTTTATAACCACTAAGCAAAACAGCTGGGAAGAAGCAATCAAACATTGCTTTATCTTTATAAAATACAGAAATTGCCTACTAAAAATCCCATTTCTACTTTGAATGAAAGCCATTCTGTACAGTATAATTTTGCAGGCTAATGAGCCGGTTTTACAGGCAAGTGTTTCGTGTAATATGTTGTGGGAGAAATGAAAATGTCCTTGAAGTGGCATCATTTAAAATTGACTGTCACAAATGAAAGGGGGAAAAAAGTCACATATTCCAAAACAAGAGGATTTTAATTCAAACTTCATTTCCAAGAACGGGCTGTGTTTTATTAATTTCCAGTTGAATTATGGATCACTGAGGGCTCTAAATGGCTAGAATGAACCATGATGCCCCTGTTTAAAGAAAAAGAAAGAAGAGAGCTTTTTCCGCCAAACTTTTAATTTTCATTTGAGTATGGTTAATTACCGTGAAACAGAGAAGAGAGGGACGCAGAAAGGACTTCCTTTCCTCAATGGTTCCTGCTTTCTCCCAAACACAGTTACATGTTTACATTTAGGAAAAATACCCTGGTCCTCGTTGTTTCTGAAACTTCCAAGGACAGCCTTGAAAAGGAACTCAAAAAAGACACCCCCAGCAACTGCTGCGGGATTCATCCGGAGAACTGTTCCCTCCCTAGTTAACACTGTGTAAGCCAAGGAAGGAAGGGGAGAGAAGGATGAGGAGTCTTTTAAAATATAGACTCTTTCCTGCTGTTCTTCCAATTAGAAGAAAAGAGTAGGGGGCGGAAAGAACAGCTTTGGCAACACAGCTCTGTGATTTTTTTCCTGTTATTAGGTCTTTTGTTGGCTGGCTAGTTGGTGTTTTCTGGTTGTGCTGGGCTCTGACATCATTGCAAGTTACTTGGCAGTCAGGGCCCTTCCCCAGCCAACTTCTGACCCAGAAAGCTGTGCCTGTTTCCTGGCGTCCAGTTATTCTGTATTTTCTCCATCAAGGGAGCAAGCCTCTCTGCAGGCAGAGGATACTGTGCATTGCATAAAGATTGCAAGGGGGTGGCCATTGGCTTGATGAGGAATCAAATCGCCACCCACCTGGAGACAGAAAGCTCTTGAGTTGTCCTGCGTCTGCAGTAGCAGCAAAGATGAAAAAAAAAAAAAATCAATTCTGGAGATTCCTAAATTCCTTGCTAAAATGCCACAATGACCAGCTTTCCAGGGTGCCACCCGAAGAGTGCAATTTGCCCCAGACTGAGTTCCTAAATCCAGGAAAAAGAAACTTTTAGATTGCAGAAGGATATGCTGGTAGGTCATTTCAAGCCATGGATTAGACATGTTTTCAGTCTACGTATCAGTGAAGACCTCACAGTCAATCCCTATATTTGGCCTGCTGGGGATGAGAGGTAGGGAAGTAGGCTCTTCACTGTGGCATGGTAAGAATGGTATCCTTTACCTTTTGGTCAAGACCAAAATATTACTTTTAAGCATTTATCATTTCCCTGGGTCCAAGAATCTTGATAGGAAAACAGCGCTCCTGTTATTTGGATTTCAGTGGAAAGAAGTCTAAGAAGTCTCTTTATGCAGCTACCATTGTTGTGGTTTATTAACATTTGGGCTCATCAGTTGATTTTACCCACTTTTAACCTTTTAGCTTTGCCTACTTCTCCAGCCTGACTCCCCCCTCTCCCTACCTTACGCTTTAGATGCTAGCATTACCCAGAAACTTGCAGTTGACCACTGTGCCACACTGGTTCACGGTGTCTCTGCTTTCTGGGTACTCCATCCCCATATGGGTATGTAGTTTAATTTCTGCTTTTCTTGACTTCTAGCCAACAATTTGTTTAAATGTCAAAACTTGCCTCATCCCACTAGCCCCTGCAATGGGCGTAAGTGCTTCTCCTCCGTGTTCCCCTAACCAGTTCACTTATGTAATTAAGTAAATTGAAGGGGAATTATCGATTTAGCATGTCTTCCCCACTCGACGCTCCTTAACAGAAATCTTTATTTACCTAGACAGTCCCAGTGCCTACCACAGTGCCTGGCATTTAATGGATGCCCAATAAATACCTGTTAAACAGATCTAATAATGGAACCTATGACTTTCTCACACTCCCTTATATGCTAAACCAGAGAATATCGTCAGCTCTAGATTGGATTCTTCTCAATTTATTCACCTTGTGTCCCCAGGACTCAGCAAAGTACTGGCATGAGAATGTTTGTTAAATGAGTACAAGAAGGAACGTATGGATGAATGGAGATAATTGACCATTTTCACCAGAAGAAATTGTAAAGGGCTCAACACTTTACATGGTTAGTGACTATGCTTAAACATTATCTACATACATTTCCCATCAGTGGAAAGTAGTCATTTTGTTTACAGTCTAGTTTGAAGTATAACAGTCATCTGAAAATTACAGAAAATCTGTGTGTGTAATTGTTACTAAAAGTTCATCAGTCATCAGAAAGTACAACTTCTTAACTGTTAGTTATTAAACAAAACATCGGTACTTAATATGCATCCAAACTCTGTTCTAAGCATTTTACAAATATTAACTTGCAACAATGCCACAAGGTAAGTACTGTTATTATTATTATTATCATTATCATTTTTACAGATGAGAAAACTGAAGCTTAGAGAGTTTAAACGAATTGCCTAATATCACAGAGGAAGTAAGCAAGTAGGAGTTGAATTCTACCCCTTACTTAGTTGTAATAGTAGTGAATAGTGAAGTCATAGTTAATAGCAATAGATGATAATGAAGTCTTTGGAATATTAGTCTGGATTGAAATCCAGACTCCTCCTCTCACTAGACTTGTGACTTGGGATAATTTATTTAGCCACACATGCTTCGGTCTTCTCATCTGGAAAACAGGGATGATGATAATAATATTCAAATGGATTTTATAAAAACGGAATGTGGTAACGCATGTAAAGTGTTTAGCATCTGACCTGGAACAAAGCAAGCACTGAATAAATATTAAACAATGCTTTTATAGATTCTCTGAAGGCAGCAGCATCTTGGAATCCTGCAGAATTGAATTCGAAACTTAATCCAACCTCACATTAAATGTGAGATTAAGGGCAAAAGTCTGTGCTACACAATAGGTTTGCAATACATTTTTGTTCCATTCCATCTCCTTCATTTTCTTATCTATGTATATATGTCTATTAATTCTGATACACACACCACTCACTATCCAGTTGATATGAAATAACATTTTGTATGAATTTTAATGAATAATAAAATTTAGGATGTAGAATTTCATGTTTCAAAATAAAAAGAGGTATTGAAATTTCAAAGGTTGCTGCAGCTTCTGTGATTACTTTAAATTGGAATGCATATATAGTATTCCTTGCGTTTGCACATTATAGAAAGTGCTTTTGTGGCAAGGGATTGCTTTCAAAACTAATCTAAGCTCTCCATGACATGATAAATCATTAATAATATAGACCCAAATCTCGGCATCTGCATAGGCACAGCTGGCCTCCTTGTGTCAACAGTCTGCATATGAAAGTGACTCTGCCAAGATATTTCACTTTAATGAAAAATATTTATCACAGTAAATCTTAAGCCTCAAGATTTTACTGACATAATTCATTTCTATTATTATGTACTATGATAGTATACCACCATAGCAATGCTTATGTTTAGAATGATAAAAATGTGCTTTTTAAAGTCATTTTGATTATTCTACCTCAGCATGAATAATTTTTGCTCTACACTCTGAGTAAAGGGAATACACTGTGCATTTATGGAACTAATAAATCAGTTACTTATCTAATTTTGCTAATGACTCTGTAGGTGTCACTGTGTGGAAGGACACTGAGTGCCCAAGTCAAATAAGAATCAGGCTTTAAAAAAGTATTGTTATTTCCATAAGAAAGATGAACAGCAAACAGCCTTTAATAACACTAGCTCTTTTGCAAACAGACAAGCGATATGAAGACTATCATCATTTTATCAAAGATCTTTTGAACAAACAGAAGCAAAACCAACTTTTTGAAGGGTGGGTCCTACAAAAAGCTGGCAACTCAGTCAGTCACTTCATTGTGCTTATCTGTACTTTGAAAAGGAATACTTAGGATACTGGAATGCCAGCTTACATCCCAACAAAAAAGAACTGAGACTCCAAATTCCTGACAGACTTCTCTCTACAAATTTACAGTAACCAAGC